CGAGGGAGCATCTCTAGACTGCTCCCGACAACTCCAGATTCTGGGAACAGAGTTATGAGGAGGAACGTCAATAGCCTGTATTGATATACGAAAGCCGCCACCATCACTGTCTTACTAGCGATGTACGGATGCAATTACAGATAGCTGATGTATCCGAAAGCGCGATGCTCATTCAAGCCCTGATTTGCGAAGATATGTGAACGTTCACCCCGTATCACCAAAAACCTGTGAAGTTTTCGGTCAGATGACATTATCTTGATGTGAGACTGTTGAGAGATGCGGAGAAACAGCTGAGATGTTTTTTTTTTGCATTCTCTTCCTTTCAGTTGTTTAACAAACTATGGGGACCATGACGTATGTCGTGTTTTGGCGGGGCAGGTGGTCACATTGCCAGCCTCCCATGGCCATTTGGCCGGCAGGTCCCGGGAACATAAACGCTGAAGAAAAAGGTAGCCAGATAAAGTTGAAAAAGTCGCTACCAAGATCCGACTGCAGTATGAAAGTGTTTCCCATATTTAACGCGGAGAAGCTCGCTGACAGCGGTCAACGCCGCCGGAGCCCTGGATGGTCACCCACTGCTCCCGAAACGCTCTAGGCAAGAATGAAAACTTACTGTCAGAAAGTGGCACTCGCTTCCGGCACTTACACATCCTGGTTGGCACCCACTGATGGAGGTCAGACACTCGCAGACCATGGCAAGACAGTTACGGACGACGGATCACCAAAAACGGACGGATACTCACTGATGATTTTCCGCCAGTTACTGATGGCGATCCGACACTCGCCGATGGCCATCTGACACTCGCTGATGACAGCACTGTATTCACTGGTGACAATATGGCACTCACTGACGACAGCCTTAGACTTGCGATCATAACTCATATGACGGTCAGACATTCACTGATGACAGTGTGGGACAGTATGGCACTTAATGGCGACAATCAAACACTTGTGATCGTGACCAGACATTTACTATGATCGTTGGACATTCCCTGATAACGGCCAGACACTGCCTGATGACGGTCAGACACTCCCTAATGACGGCCAGACATTCCCTGATGACGGACACTCACTGCTGACAACATGGAACAGCATGGCACTTACTGCCGACAGCCAAACACTTGCGATCATGACCAGACATCCTCTGATGACGGCCAGACACTCACTGATGACGGCCAGACACTCCCTGATGACGGCCAGACACTCACTGATGACGGTCAGGTTGACACGTGAGTTGCGCGTGGGCGAGTGCAGGAAGTCGACGCGGCAGCGGTAGAGCCGCTGGTCGGAGCGGCGCACGGCCCCGATCCGCAGGTGGGCCTGCCGCGTGTTCGGCTGGAACTGCACCCGGCTGCTGTCCACGCTGGCGTCCGTCCAGTGGGCGCCGCGCGACCTGCCCCGGTCCCGCGCGTCGTACCTGGCGCAGAGGCGACGGCGTGTCGGCGCGGTCGGCGCCGTGTGCTGGAGGATCACGGCAGGACGGACAGCGTGGCGGGCGGCCAAGTGGGGAACGCCGCGGGTGTTATGATGCGTTGCGGGACGTATGCTACGTTGCTTAGCCAGAAGGTTGCGTTGTCGATTCGACTGAACTGCTACCGCCTTCGATAGCCTTTCAGCGTCTGATGCGGTACACAGTATCCGTAACTTCATAGCACTCACAGTCGCGACAGTCCCTTTCATAATATTTTCACACTATTTCAGGAGGTGGCCCATGAATAATTCAGCGGAGGCACGTCTTGCAATCACCGCCACGTGGCACCAAGACGTGCGCAAATGAACCCGATTTGGCACTTCCAGGGAGTAGGAGGCAACAGCTCACCGGGATGCGAGCTTGCTTTCCCGGCGGGTCGCAATCAAACCCCCTTTCAGCCTTCTGATGCACTCGTCTGCCACCGGCGGCTGGACGAGACACCGAATGCGAATCTGTCCCCAATTTGCTTTTCGACTGATGCCGGATTGGGTCGGGCCGCTTTGACATGCAATCAGCATCCGCTGCGGGCCGTTTGTACGGGCGGCGCCGGTCGATATCGGGACCGAGCAGCCCGTGAGCGTCCTCGCCAGCTATTGACGGAGCGTCAACGGCACTCAGCAGCGGGACACAAATACAAACCCAGAGCGGCAAATGGGCGACGGTGGTAGCAGCCGCCAATCTATCACCAGCGATGCCGAGTGAATCTTTCGTATTTGACCTGCGGGAAGTTTCAATTTGAGCCACTCGTCCAGGCCCGAACGTCCGCGCCCCGCAACAGATAGGCGATGCAAGGAATGGTGTGCGCGACATGACGACAATGCGCCAGTCTGCCCTTACGTGTACACCGGTGTGCCTCCAGTGCCGTAGTACCAGAGCACCAATCGCAGCTCGTCGTCGGGTGACGGTGGCGTGACGTCACAGGGGAGCTCAGCCGTCTGCCGCTGCACTGCCGACACGTTGATCAGCGGGCCTGTAATGGACGACAGGTCGGTTGAACACCCACTTGTGGCCGACAGCCTGTTCGGAGAACGCTACCGGCTGCTGACATTGCGTGATATCGGCGGATGCGAGCAGTCCGCCTCGAATCACCCACAGAGAAGAACGCTACATGAGGATATCAGATATATCATCAGATAACAGAGACCACCAACCCCAACCATTCCATGTTTACTGTTTTCATGCACAATTCACCGCGGTCAATTTTCGTACTATGCACATTGGCATCATACACACAAAAAAAACGCCACAAAATGCGCAAATGAAGAAAGCTGGGCGTAATAATGACATCAGCATTCAACACTTTCTAGATTAGCTAGTGGCACACTTAAATCTAAAATAACCTAGACACACTAACTGATCGACGCAACTCACACTTCAGTGAGCAGCGGCACGCGATAACTGCCGTCATGCGGCGAATTTTACTCAACGGCTGCTTACAGAGCGCCCAAGCCGGACCATTCCAGGTGTAATGATCCGCAAACCGACGCTCAGCTGGCCAATGAGGCCCCACTCCCAGTTTTACAGCCCATCCGGCCGGAGCTGGCGCGAGCCGCCTCCGGAAGCCGTCCACTTCCGGCGGCGGTGGGCGCCGTGTCCGCTGGGAGACGGCGAGCCTCCTACCAAGGCGGACCATGTTCCCCCGACAATCGATCGGCGTTTGTCTCCCGAGAGACAACTTCGACGCGGACTCTCTGCATCATGTCTAGCGGTTGTGACCCTTCGACGGGACTGTCTGCGTCATGTCTAGCGGTCGTGACCCTTCGAGGCGGACTGTCTGCATCATGTCTAGCGGTCGTGACCCTTCGACGCGGACTGCCTGCATCATGTCTAGCGGTCGTGACCCTTCGACGCGGACTGCCAGTATCATGTCTAGCGGTCGTGACCCTTCGACGCGGACTGCCTGCACCATGTCTAGCGGTCGTAACTCTTCGACGCGGACTGTCTGCATCATGTCTAGCGGTCGTGACCCTTCGACGCGGACTGCCCGCATCATGTCTAGCGGTCGTGACCCTTCGACGCGGACTGCCTGCACCATGTCTAGCGGTCGTGACTCTTCGACGCGGATTGTCTGCATCATGTCTAGCGGTCGTGACCCTTCGACGCGGACTGCCTGCACCATGTCTAACGGTCGTGACCCTTCGGCGCGGACTGCCTACATCATGTCTAGCGGTCGTGACCCTCGGCCCAGAGACCTGCGGCACTCCCAAAGGCGCTCCTGCTCCTCGGTCCCTGCTCCTCTTGCTCCTCTTTGTCCCTGCTTCTCTCTGTCCCTGCTACTCTCCGTCCCTGCTCCTCTCTGCCCCTGTCCCTTTTGCCCCTCGTCCTCACTGTCCCACTCCTCTCTGTCCCTGCTCCTCTCTGTCCCTGCTGCTCTCTGTCCCCTCCACATACTCTTTTTCTCCGCCTCCGGCTTTTTTTGCGTCCGCAATATCACGTCTCGCTGGAAGTATGCTATGACTGTCAGCCATGGGCCAACCTCACGGCTGCCCGAGATGGGTGCTCCGCCCGAGGGTCTGGGCGACTTACGGTTGATTACACACAATGGGAGCAGCATAACCGCACCTCTGCCTCCCTCCGCAATCCCAAAACTCTGAGATGGTCGTGGTTAGATGCAATGGTTCTCACCGAACTCAACCTAACTGAACCAGATCTCCCCGTCTACAACATATCTAGGTGTCAACCCGCTGTCCTTAGCGGCCCTTATATAAAGATACATATCCAGTGCACGTCTCCCAGCTGCGTTGCTGGCTGTATCTTTTACTCCCCAGGAGTGGAGGGGTGCTGAGGAAAGTTGGCAAGGCAATGCTTCCTGTTCACCCGCTGGTAAGTAATCAAATTATGACTACTTTAGGAAAAAACTTAATTTTCTGCTACTATGACCCGCCCCCCCCCCCCCCTCCTGCCATGACCTGCATTGACGCATCGTTTTCAACACGTGTGCCCAGTGGTATCGGTATGGATGCCTGATGGTGTTTTAGAGTCATGAACCGTTCTGAGATATAGCCTGTGTATTCGATCTGCCAATGTGTCATGCACTGATAAAACCTCAGGGTTCGTGGGCTTGGCGATGAGATGCAATGCAGCAGTTTTGCTTCTGTCGCATTCCACTCGTTATCTACCATGCCAGCCAAAAATACCACACCATGTTGAGGTAGAGCCCCGCCCCCTTTCTCTCCTCTTTTCTCCTCTCCTCTCCTCTCCTCTCCTCTCCTCTCCTCTCCTCTCCTCTCCTCTCCTCTCCTCTCCTCTCCTCTCCTCTCCTCTCCTCTCCCTTCCTCCTCTCCTCTCCTCTCCTCTCCTCTCCTCTCCTCTCCTCTCCTCTCCTCTCCTCTCCTCTCCTCTCCTCTCCTCTCCTCTCCTCTCCTTCCTCTCCTCTCCTCTCCTCTCCTCTCCTCTCGTAAGCAATGAGTGTCACATCCTCTCCCTCGTCTCTCCAATGCTCCTCTCCAAATGATACTCGCTGCTCGGCAGGAACAGCCTTCCTTCCTTACCAACATTCCCTGCCGAGTACTGCGAGCGGGCAACGGTGTTTTGATTCAATGCTACACTTCTCTACAAGTTTGCTCTGAAGGGTTTTGCTGAGTGTGGACAGGTTTTCAGCAGGCAGCTTGGGCCTGATTGAAACAATATTGTTTATTCAGGAAACCACTTCAAAGTTGGCCCAGTAAGTTGTTCGTGTTTTTCAAGCAGAATTCGAGCAGAGCAAAAGGGAAGACGGCAAAAAGCAAACGTGAAAATTTAAAGGTAAACCCGAGTAGAGGCACTATCCCCCACTTTAAATACTGCTGACGTACTATTTTGTAAAGCATGGAATACAAAACGATGCGTCGCTGGTTTATAACACATTATCTAACGTTAACCAGGAATGTAGTTTCGCAAAATGAGTTGAAGGAGGTGGCTGTGGAGTGCAAAATGGCGCACCTTACTCCTAGAAACGCCAACAAACAGGTTCCACCTAGACTTGGTCCACTTTCTTCCACTGAATAGATAACTACGCTCCTGGTTTTAACGCTGAAGTGAAATAAAAAACCTGGGCTCGAAGGCATGCCATAGCACGACGATGGTTATAAGTCAGCACGGTAGGCCCATTATCAGGTCAGTCCGGGTTGTAAGCGCTATATGTACCGTAGAGCAGTCGCGTAAGTCACACGTTTCATAGCCTTTGTTTCGTCGGAGCAGAAACGAAGTATGGCAGTTCCATCTGGTAGCATTCCATAATTGATTAGCCCGGCTAAAAGTACCTTATGTAGACTATTAGGAGATGCCAGCAATGCCGTTCGCTACATAGGTGCCGAAGTAAAATACAGGAGATGTCGTTTGTGTTCTTGAAACTGATCGCATAAACACTGGTCGCTACAAAATCAAGCTGACATGAATTTAGTGTATCTAAAAAACTGGAGCTCAAACAGAAAATAAGAAGGCAAACATAGCGCTTAATAACTTGGTTCAATTTCTCAGCACAAATCAACGTGATTCGTACTCATCATTCGTCTTTATTTTGGGCTTATGTCAAGGGCCTTCCTCCATCCTTGGCACTTTTGCTTGTTACTTGTCAAGTTTATAAGTTTTTTTCTGTGTTGTCGACCTACAAGACATCAAAACGTACTAGTTAAATGACAATATGGAGTAAACATTGGTTAACACGGGAGAGTCGCATCGACCGCAACCCTATCCCTTCTAAGGAAAAGGGTTAAAGGGAGCGTTCCACATCTTCATGGTGTTTTGAACTGAAACAGCCACCTTGAAGACTTTTCGGTGCTGTTCACAGCTTTGTCATTCTTAAGACCTATGCCTCTCTGGTTTCTGAGCCAAACGCTCGCGAAAATGGGGATTGTTTCGTGGGGAGTATTTCAAGGTTACCTTGTCATGACGTCATAATAACGTCATTCAAATGATATAACTCCATAAGCCACGCGGCAGTCAAAACCTAGAAGAATAGAATTGTCGAGATGTTCATACCTGGCGTTGGTGGGCACAGTTTCCAGACATAACGGCCGTCAATTAGCTTTCAATCAATATTGTGCAAGGTACAATGGCGTTATCAAGCCATAACGCATTGAGAAGCATACTTAGTAAACAGAAAATTATGCTGTCTAGAGCAGTCTTTTCCACTTAAAAAGGATACCAATAGTTACAAGTGAGCTTGTTGTATCATATCTGATGCCTTCTTCAATGGCTTCAAATGTAAAACATTCCCTTATAGATGATTGGGCCCATGACAAGATCGTTTGGCGCGAAGTGTGTGAAAAATTGCGACATGCATTCCTTTTTCACATGGCGTCATGCTATTGACTAACAATGCTTTGTCTTACGCTGCAGCAAATCTGCGCACTTTTGAACTCAACACGACCACAGTGGGAGGCGGGAAGGTGAACTAAACACCAAGTGGAACGGCGCTTACGTTCGTAGCGTTTCGGCCGAACACAATGCACACAAATGACAAAAACGCCCGCGTGAGCAGTGCTCGATTAGGGCTGGTTTAATTGGGTTTCTGGTGACGAGATTCTACTTCAAAGCATCGCTTAAGCAGTGTGCGCCACACAAAGCTGTTGGTGTTTCCCGTAGCATGCCAACTGTTTGTGGCACATTTGTATCGGCACCTCTGCGAACACCAGGAAGCGCCTTTGAATTTCCAGTAATATTGTGCCGTGGTGGCAGATTTTTCCGGTGGGTGTTCGTGAAAATAGCTGTGACATTGAACTAGCTGGCCAGCGGCATGTTGTGTGCAACTGGTTTCGAGGTGGGCCTTCGTTGGCTTTGAGGGATTTATTTTTCGGTAAGGGTATCAATATAACAGCGCAACATTCGTTACTATTAGTCCTTGCGTACAGGCTACAAATAAACCCCAGAAGGGAGACTGTCGTTTCAGCATGCAGTAAGGGTCCTATTGTTTCCACATGGCCACTGTAACTATTGCTATTAAACCCATAGTGAGCTGTCAAATTGCGTAAGTTGCTCAGCACATTAGCG